ATATAAAACTCTGATGTTAGAATGATTTTAAAAATTGATTCAAACAAATTGTAACAAAATGGTGGTCCCTTAGTCATCGGTGGTTCTACCATAAAGAAATGATACTGTCGTAAATGGCGCTATCATAAATGGTACTTTCGCAGTAAAAACAATTTGTTGAAATATAATTATAAACCTGACGGTGTTAGAAACGCTTGTGTAAATAACGTGTTCACTGTTATTTCGGTTTAGCACCTTTCGCATGTGGGGGACATGAGATTTCATGTTTGAATAACCGTGAGCCACTGATGACGTTCTATCCGCCTCATTTAAAGATGATACTGTCACGGTAACGACACCATTGCCAAATGATCTTGTTGCAAAAACAAGTGAAATCATTCTCAGCGGAGCCGCCGTGAAATGCAGCGAGGAATTCGTTTGGGGGACGCACGTGATGTCATTGTCCTTGCAACGAATTCGCGTGGGCGGAGGACGATTCGAGATTGTGTCACTATCTTCGTAACCACGACAGTGGTAGAATCTAACGTGATATACTGTTTACGGTACACAGTGCCAAGTTTCCCTGGAGTCGTTGACGAGTCGTCAACACCTAGACAGTTCAACGAAAATTTTGATTCTTCGAACAATGTGTGAATTGTTGATCACAGAAGATTATACAGGATGTCCCAAAATTATTGTACAAGTGGGAAATGAGGGGTTCCTGAAGTGATTTGAAGCAACTTTTTCCTTAGCGAAAATGCAATCCGCGGCTTCGTTTTCAAATTATTAACGAAAAAGGTTGACCATTTGCGCTTCGACCGCTGATTGGCTCCGCCCAGTTCCGCTGATTGGCTCCGCCCAGTTCCGCTGATTGGTTCGGCCGCCTAGCGCTAGGCGAGCTCGCCTCTCATTGGTCACTGTTTTTCGTAAATAACTCGTAAACAATGCCGCGGATTGCATTTTCGTTGAGGAAAAAGTTACTTCAAATGACCTTAAGAATCAGCCCTTTCCGGGCGTTAACATAATTATGGGACACCCTGTAGGTTTAATAGGGAGAATGTCGAATGCCAATGCGGCGAAATTCGTGGATCCACCGATTCCTAATTGCCGACGATAACGAGCGCCGAGTTTCCGATTAATTGGTGCCGATGAACGTTTAACATCCCGCCATCTTGGATCGTGTGCAGCTCGCCCCGAACAGTCCCTTTTAACGAGGCATTCGGTTAAGACGTTACTTGATTAGGGAACGAACAACTTTCACTAACAACCGATAAACTCGACGGTACCATGAGCACACCGGATAATAATTATCCTTCAGCCGATAATTAATTTCTAAATCCAAACCAATTATCTCGCGTCCTGAAATCTCTCAAGTTCGGAAATGCTTGTTCAGGTCAAATTAGTGTTAGGCGAATAACTTCCATTTTAAATTAATAATTTTTCAGTAAGTAACCTCTACCGCTAAGTCAATGATTCTTAATTAAATAACTTTTATTTTAAGCAAATGATCATTCAGCGAATTAATTTTATTTTAAGTGAAGAAATTTTGGGTACATTGCTCTTATTTCAAGCAAATAATTTTTCAACAAGTAACTTTCGTTTTAAGTGAATCAATTTTAATTAAATAACTATTCTTTTAAGGAAAAATAATCTTTTGGTAAATCACTTTTATTTCGAGCAAAGAATATTACTTTTATTTCAAGCAAATAATTATTCAGGAAATAACACATTCATTTTTAGTAAATAAAATTTCAATAATTTTTACTCTAAGTAAAAAAATTTCAACAAAACAACTGCTGATCTAAACAAATAATAATTAATTAGTAGTCAAGGTCACTCGAAGTTCACACGGTTTGCCTTTTCGAATCGCCTAACGTTCTCCTTTTATTATTTCAAGGCTCGACGGAAACGACGACAAAATTTTTTGTTTGCTGTTATATTGTTGGTAAAATGGCGAAGGTTAGGAAATTTCAACGGGGTCGAAAGTGACCCAGCGATCCGTTGCAGGATTAAACGAAAATTGATTCGAGCATCGTAGGCGGTTCTATGGTCGTAATTCTGTGAGAATGGTGGAAGATACTTGCGCGCGCCCATTTCGAAAGATTTATTTGAACCGTTCCTTCTTTGAGGAAAAGAGGGTCGGTCGTTGGGAATCTTCTAACGTTTCGTTAGAAGCCGTTGGATCGCTCCGCGGCTGATAAATGAGATTCATAGGGTTCGCATTCGAGGGGAAACACATTCATGGGGGCTCCTTTGACCGGCTGGTATACATATACAGAGAAATTTGATATAAAGTCCAATCGATAAGTTTACTTTTGCCGGCTCAGAAGATCGCATCGATCGAATATTTTAGCGTGATCTTTGAATATTTTTCAGCAAATTTACCGTCCATGTTTCTCGTTAATGAAAATACAAAAACTGTATGTTTCGGTGTGGGAAGCAATTGAATTTATTTAACAAATTCGTTTCTCGCCACAGCACAAGTTTTATTATTAGAAATGCATTTATAGGCAGAACGAATTTCCACGTGTAAATATTACCAACATGTCGTAATTAAATATATTTTTATTTGCATGGGAAAATATATTATATATTATTATTATATATTTATTATATTTTTATATTTATATTTTATTTATATTTATATTTATATTTTTATATTTTATATTTATATTTTTATATTATATATTTATTATATTATTTATTATATTATTATTATATATTTATAAATTTTATTTTCTATTTCAAACCCTACAACGATTATTGTAAAACAAATGTAGCAATCCCGTTTACAAAATCTTTTATTTATAATTTTCTTTCAAGAGACTACATAACATCTTTATTTAAATATTTGATTTTCCTGACTCCCCTTGGTCGCAAAATTCATTCTCACAATTTACAAAATTTTTATAAATCCTGAATAAGAAAATCTCATAGATAGAGTAGGTGAGGGTGAATGAGAAGGTGACAGACAAAATAGCATTGTTCTTTTGAACAACGTAGCAGACGCTCAATTTTATCGAATACAGCATTTTATTTTTCATTATCCTTTATTTATAATATTCCTGAAAGAATATACACAATATTTTTATTGAAATATTTTATTCTCCCCTTCTCCTTGGTCACAAAAACCATGTCGCAATTTTTTAAATTTCTACAAACCTTAAACAATAAAATTGCATACTTAGGGTAGTTGAGGGTGAACTAAAAGGTGACAGACAAAATATCAAAGTAAATAATAATTATTCAATTATTTATTTATTTAATTAATTACTTAATTTCGTACATTTATAATTTTTCTGCAAAAATATACACAACATTTTTCGCTTCATATAACACAAATCCCGTTTCTACCAATCCCAGAATTTCCCAGAGCCCCGTAAGCAGCATAATTGCACAGTTAGGCTAAGGGGGTGTAAAAGAAGCTGGCCGTAGATAAAACAAAACAAAGTATAACAAGGGTGTAGGTGGCTAACAGGTACTCGATTTTATCGACTCTCCTCGTCGGTGTTCAGCAGTGGGCCTCGAATCGAATTTACTCGGCTCGAATGTCACGCGTGCCGGAAACGATTCCGCGACTGGGGAAACTCGTGACGCGTGGGTGGCCGCCGCGCTTTCAGCACGTCAGACATTGGACGAGGGAAAGTGCGCGACCCCGCGTCGCGTCGGTTACACGGGATTTCGAGTTCTCTTCAAATATTTCGACCGGGCGGGATTACAAAGCCGGGGCCACTCCTTCGTCTGCAAACAATTTACGGACGGATCCGGTTAATTCAATAAATGCCGGCCATTGTTTCCGCGGGAAACGTCCGCGGAAGCGACGTGCTCGATAACGGGCGATTTTCGGGCGAACAATCGCCAATTGTGCTCCCTCGACGCCGCCGCGAAGCAAATCTGCGTGTAATGTCAACTATAGGGAACGTGCTCCGTGAACAGTTGCTCCGCTCCCCGAACACGAGCGAGGCGATTGTTTCTTTCACACGATTTCTTCGAATTTCTTCTATTTTCTTCGGGTTGCTTTTTTATCCTTTGGAATATTTTGGTCTTTTTTTTAACTGCCTTAGCCTCTTCAGTTTTATTCATAACTTTTTTATATTGGCTGGTTTCGACGTGTTGCATTATGTAAACAAATTCTTTTAACACGTTCCGTGCCACGTGTACCATCGATGGTACACGCTTGCATGTTTACTTAGTGAACTGAACAAATTGTTTACAAGAAATTTAGAACCGAAGAATCAATTTCCACCGCAAGAATGGGCGTTGATAAGTTTTTGTTACGTTGTTATGTGTACGAGAATTAATAATTGCACGTAATACATGAAGTTTTAGTAAAATATCAAAGTGTGAAGATTCGAGTAAAAAAAGCTCGGCACGGAACGTGTTAATAACACCCTTTTGTTAATAACAGTTTTAAAAAGTGTCGATTTCGTTTCTCGAGCGTTCATTTGTCGTTAATTATTTTTTTTTATATCTCTGTAGTTCTTAGCTTTATTTGTAATTTTTTGATCGAGTAGTTCTAGCACCGTACCATGTACATAAAAAATTTTTCATTGCCTCCTTTTGTTAATAACATTTTTCAAAATCGACGAAGTTGTTCCATGTCATTTGGAATTTTTATCTTTTGTTGTAATTTGGTAATTTTTTCTGAATCTTGTCGTCTCCATTTTTATTTATAATTTTTCAACAGGTTAATCATTGATATTGTAGTATATACGCAAACATTTTCAGACGCATTCTTTAGTTAATAACAATTTCTAAACGTTTAAATTCGTCCCATTCTTTCTGAACATTCTTACCCTTACACGAACTACGATGATATTTCCTGACGTCCATTTTTGCATAGGATAGATTTAATACTACATTACATGTAAACAAGTTGTCAACAATATCCTTTTGTTGATAACATTTTATTAAACCTGTAAAACCGAGATGAAGCCATAAAGCTCAATACGTGAAGCTGAGAGTTCAAAAACCTGGATTAACACAGTGAGATCTGATCATGTTTTTTGACCGTGTTCCAGTGTCGGAGTTCACAGAGATGTTGGGTACCATCATGGAGGACCACTCCGCGAACGTCCAACGTTTGGTGGACAAATTCCGGAGCAGGTCCGAGGACACGAGGCTCGACACAGGAGGCGTGCGACGTGTTTGGGAGAACCTGTTGCGTCAGGTGGAGGCTGATGCGTTAGCTCACCTGGACTTCGCCAAGGTTCTCCAACAGCAACTCTCTAGGCCCACCTTGGAAGCGAGTTTCCACAGGAAGCTTCAGTCTAGGAANCGCTTGCATGTTTACTTAGTGAACTGAACAAATTGTTTACAAGAAATTTAGAACCGAAGAATCAATTTCCACCGCAAGAATGGGCGTTGATAAGTTTTTGTTACGTTGTTATGTGTACGAGAATTAATAATTGCACGTAATACATGAAGTTTTAGTAAAATATCAAAGTGTGAAGATTCGAGTAAAAAAAGCTCGGCACGGAACGTGTTAATAACACCCTTTTGTTAATAACAGTTTTAAAAAGTGTCGATTTCGTTTCTCGAGCGTTCATTTGTCGTTAATTATTTTTTTTTATATCTCTGTAGTTCTTAGCTTTATTTGTAATTTTTTGATCGAGTAGTTCTAGCACCGTACCATGTACATAAAAAATTTTTCATTGCCTCCTTTTGTTAATAACATTTTTCAAAATCGACGAAGTTGTTCCATGTCATTTGGAATTTTTATCTTTTGTTGTAATTTGGTAATTTTTTCTGAATCTTGTCGTCTCCATTTTTATTTATAATTTTTCAACAGGTTAATCATTGATATTGTAGTATATACGCAAACATTTTCAGACGCATTCTTTAGTTAATAACAATTTCTAAACGTTTAAATTCGTCCCATTCTTTCTGAACATTCTTACCCTTACACGAACTACGATGATATTTCCTGACGTCCATTTTTGCATAGGATAGATTTAATACTACATTACATGTAAACAAGTTGTCAACAATATCCTTTTGTTGATAACATTTTATTAAACCTGTAAAACCGAGATGAAGCCATAAAGCTCAATACGTGAAGCTGAGAGTTCAAAAACCTGGATTAACACAGTGAGATCTGATCATGTTTTTTGACCGTGTTCCAGTGTCGGAGTTCACAGAGATGTTGGGTACCATCATGGAGGACCACTCCGCGAACGTCCAACGTTTGGTGGACAAATTCCGGAGCAGGTCCGAGGACACGAGGCTCGACACAGGAGGCGTGCGACGTGTTTGGGAGAACCTGTTGCGTCAGGTGGAGGCTGATGCGTTAGCTCACCTGGACTTCGCCAAGGTTCTCCAACAGCAACTCTCTAGGCCCACCTTGGAAGCGAGTTTCCACAGGAAGCTTCAGTCTAGGAAGGCGAGTACTTGTCATTGATCATGTTAAACCAGATGATCTTGATTTCTCCACGACATTCTTGACACATCTCTGTGTAGTGGATTGGTGTATCAGTTAACATTCTACATACAGTAATTTCTCTCAATGCAATTCAGTTTGAAGTATTACTAGAAATTTTCGAGGTCATCTAGTTACAAGATTCTACTAGGTTCAGTTTAACGACTACTGCAGCAAATCCTCCTAAATTGTCCCTCGGCTTGGAAACAAAAATGAACAACTTGGGAAGAGGAAATACGATTATTCGAGTTCGTGGTTCGTTTTTATAGTCATTGATAATTCCCAAGTTGTCCATTTTTGTTTCCAAGCCGAGGGACAATTTAGGAGGATTTGCTGCAGCAGTCGTTAAACTGGACCTAGTAGAATCTTGTAACTAGACGACCTCGAAAATTTCTAGTAATACTTCAAACTGAATTGCATGTTTCAGTTCACTTTTTCTAAACATGGATTTGCAATATTCCAGTCACCGATAAGAATATTTTCTGATAGCCAAGTAGATGTAGTCTGCCCCCATGCATAGCAAATGCAACCTTGTCCTCATTCAGCGTTTTGTATTTTTGCAGCCTCAGAGATGAAGACTGATAGCATGCATCCCCTTGTACATAGTTATCTACATCCTGATGGTATCTGGTGATGATACAATCCTTGATGGACTAGAACACCTATTAGCTTATTATAATTCCTACAGAGCCATAGTATTTTCAGTTTTCTATCGAGGTCTCAGGTGTCTTATTAACTAAAAAATTCTAGAAACTTGACATTGTTTAGAAATTATTTTCAACTTACTAAATTGATTAAAGTAAGAAAGGGACTCCTATTTGCCTTTTGTTTACTGTAATTGATAAAGAAAATTTTTATTTTGCATAAAAATCCGCAGTCTATTTATTACAGAGGGTGGCTTATATCTTTCACAAACTCATGTTCTTTAGATTTCAAATTATTTTATTTGGAAATATGATTAATGAATATTTTTCAGTATTATGTTTGAGAAACGTTTTTCACTGGAATAGAAAAAGTCGACGAATTCTACTCGTTGCTGGGCATCATACGTAGCCATTTTAATCTCCAAGGGATGCTCTGCAAGAAAAAGACAAGTAAAAAAGTTGAAAATGAACAAGTTATGACTCATAAATGTTCCAGTGGCCACCCTATATAATCATTGGTCATTAGAATTCATTATATTGGAGATATTGGGTTTCTGTCTAGATGTAATCATCATAGCTAAGTAAGAGTTCCATCACCACTCTACAATCTACAGTACATCAAACGATCTCAGATATCCCCCTATCACAGCAGCTTGTCATTTTACCTTTCCAAACAATGCCAGATGGACTAATGAGAATGTCTCAGATGTCCCTTTACATCTCACGATCACTGCTAATTAGAATCCACTATATATTGAAGACAATAGGTCTCTGTCTAAGTACAATGATCACGGCCTAGCTCTGATGTCCTCAAATGTTCGCCTATATCGTAGCAGCTTGTAACTTCAGCTTTCCAACAAGATTAGGTCTAATGTATATGCAAATGATCATTGCAGGTATTTCCTTGTCCTCGTTAAGGATATTTCATTCTTACATTTCAAGAGATGAAGATTGATAGTGATAGCTTTTGCCCTTGTACATAGTTCAACTAAACATATATAAATAGCATCTGGTGATGGCGTAACACTTGATGAACTGAAACACCTATTTACTTATTAGAATTCAAATAAAGTCAGCTTTTCTAGTTTTCTATTCAGGATCCCATTTTATATCTCATGATCACTGATTTCTAGAATCCATTGTATTGAATCTGTGTCTGTAATTAATACCACCAAGTCAAAATTCTTTGACCCCTCCACCGATGATCTCAAATATCCTCTTAGAGTCTTTTGACTTTTCTATTCAGCATCTCTAATGTCCCATTACCTCTCATGATCACTACTAATCAGAAATGAAAATTAATAGAGATAGAAAATGCCATCATGAAAATGATTAGTGATAGCATCTGATGATGATATAACAATTGATGAACCAAAACACCTATTTACTTATTATAATTTTTATATACATAGTCAGCATGTTTAGTTTTCTATTGAGGCTCCCATTACATCTCATGATCACTATTAGCTGAAACCCACTGTATTAAAGATACCAGGTCTCTAATTAGTACAGTCAAGTCAGAATTTCTTCATTCCTCCACCGGCGATCTCAAATATCTTCTTAGAGTCTTTCAACTTTTCTATTAAGCACCTCTACATATAATGTCCTATGACCTCTCATAATCTCTACTAATCAGAGATGAAAATTAATAGCTTGTATCCTTGTACTCAGTTGTCTTCACACCAATAGCATCTGATGATATAACACTCGATGAACCAGAACACCTATTTACTTACTATAATTCTTATAAAGTCAGCTTTTCTAATTTTCTATTAAGGCTCCCATTACATCCTATGACCACAATTAGCTAAAATCCACTATATTGAAGATAATGGATCTCTGTCTAAATACAATGATCACAGCCAAGTCTCTATGCCCAGTTAACTAAATGTCAGCTTTTCTAATTCTCTATTAAGGCTCCCATTACATCCTATGACCACAATTAGCTAAAATCCACTATATTGAAGATAATGGATCTCTGTCTAAATACAATGATCACAGCCAAGTCTCTATGCCCAGTTAACTAAATGTCAGCTTTTCTAATTCTCTATTAAGGCTCCCATTACATCCTATGACCACAATTAGCTAAAATCCACTATATCGAAGATACTGGGTCTCTGTCTAAATACAATTATCACAGCCGAGTCTCTATGCCCAGTTAACTAAATGTCAGCTTTTCTAATTTTCTATTAAGGCTCCCATTACATCCTATGACCACAATTAGCTAAAATCCACTATATTGAAGATAATGGATCTCTGTCTAAATACAATGATCACAGCCAAGTCTCTATGCCCAGTTAACTAAATGTCAGCTTTTCTAATTCTCTATTAAGGCTCCCATTACATCCTATGACCACAATTAGCTAAAATCCACTATATCGAAGATACTGGGTCTCTGTCTAAATACAATTATCACAGCCGAGTCTCTATGCCCAGTTAACTAAATGTCAGCTTTTCTAATTTTCTATTAAGGCTCCCATTACATCCTATCACCACAATTAGCTAAAATCCACTATATCGAAAATACTGGGTCTCTGTCTAAATACAATGATCACAGCCAAGTCTCTATGCCCAGTTAACTAAATGTCAGCTTTTCTAATTCTCTATTAAGGCTCCCATTACATCCTATGACCACAATTAGCTAAAATCCACATATATTGAAGATACTGGGTCTCTGTCTAAATACAATGATCACAGCCAAGTCTCTATGCCCAGCTAACTAAATGTCAGCTTTTCTAATTCTCTATTAAGGCTCCCATTACATCCTATGACCACAATTAGCTAAAATCCACTATATCGAAGATACTGGGTCTCTGTCTAAATACAATTATCACAGCCGAGTCTCTATGCCCAGTTAACTAAATGTCAGCTTTTCTAATTTTCTATTAAGGCTCCCATTACATCCTATCACCATAATTAGCTAAAATCCACTATATCGAAAATACTGGGTCTCTGTCTAAATACAATGATCACAGCCAAGTCTCTATGCCCAGTTAACTAAATGTCAGCTTTTCTAATTCTCTATTAAGGCTCCCATTACATCCTATGACCACAATTAGCTAAAATCCACTATATCGAAAATACTGGGTCTCTGTCTAAATACAATGATCACAGCCAAGTCTCTATGCCCAGTTAACTAAATGTCAGCTTTTCTAATTCTCTATTAAGGCTCCCATTACATCCTATGACCACAATTAGCTAAAATCCACTATATCGAAAATACTGGGTCTCTGTCTAAATACAATGATCACAGCCAAGTCTCTATGCCCAGTTAACTAAATGTCAGCTTTTCTAATTCTCTATTAAGGCTCCCATTACATCCTATGACCACAATTAGCTAAAATCCACTATATCGAAAATACTGGGTCTCTGTCTAAATACAATGATCACAGCCAAGTCTCTATGCCCAGCTAACTAAATGTCAGCTTTTCTAATTCTCTATTAAGGCTCCCATTACATCCTATGACCACAATTAGCTAAAATCCACATATATTGAAGATACTGGATCTCTGTCTAAATGCAATGATCACAGCCAAGTCTCTATGCCCTCAAATGCCCCTCTCTACTATATCAGCTTCTAACTCCAGCCTGTGAACAAGGTCAGATCTAACGAGAATGCAAATGATGATTGCAGGTGTTCGCTCATCGCGAGGCTTTCGAACAGCTGGTGGCCAAATCCGAGGAGAAGCTGCAGCGTGCCCGGGCGGATTACAAGCGCGCGTACGCCGCGTTACTGATGCTAGAGGGCGGCAGCGAACAGGACCTAAAACGTGCTTACTTCGAGGCGCACAACGCGTACGTTCTGCAATTGAGGGCCACGAATGCCATCACGGAACGATACCAGACGCGATGTCTGACCGGTATCCTCGGCGAGATAGCGGAGGTCTACGAGGATCTATGCGGATTGGCTTGCAAATGCGTCACCGGGTTCACGGAGGCGATTGCGGAGCGGTCTCGCGAGCAGGCCAAGCGTTATCAAGCCATCTCCGAGGAAGCCCAAGTCGTCGCGCCTTTGAACGACCTGCAAGTACGTTCCTCTTGCAACAATGTCGTCTGTTTTGGGACTTCTCTGCCTCTAGGGACCAACTTCAGTCTAGATTTAGTTCAGTTGTTGTTCAGTTGTCATTTAGTTTCAATTGTTTTGTATTATGGTATGAAGAAATTATGAGAATCTCGATCTCCCCTTTATGAATTTATACGGTGCGATTCTTTTGTCAAGTATTGAAATTTTTATCAACATTGTAAGCCTTGCACTGACCTTGGGAATTGTTCCGATTTCTGTATTATGGCATGGAGTAATTAGAAGGAGCTTGTGTCCATTTTCTAATTTATAAAATGTGATTCTGCAGTATGGATTACTTTGTGACATTGCTAACTATTAGAACGTCTATTGACATTATATGTCTTATACAGATTTTGCGAAGGTTTCTAATTTTTATATTATTGCATGAAGCGATTAGGGGGACCTTGTGTCCGTTTCCTAATTCATAAAATATGATTCTGCAGTCTGGGTTGCATTCTGACATTGCCAACTGTTGATTATGCTTATTGATATTATATACAGACTTTGGAAAAGTTTCTAAGTTTTATATCACCGTATGAAGTAATTAATAAGGTTTTGCTTCTCTTTTCTAATTTATAAAATGTTTTTCTCGTATAAGTTATTTTTTTGACATTGCTAACTAATGATATGCTTACTGACATTGTACGTCTTGTACACGCCTTGAAAACGTTTCCGACTTCTGTATTGTGTCAAAAAGTAATCGGAAGGGCTTTGCGTTGCTTTTCTAATTTATGAAATATGTTTCTTTCATCTGAGTTATTCTTGAACATTATCATTAACGTTATTATTGTCATTAACACTATTATCATTAACATCATGTCTTTTGCAGACTTTAGAAACGTTTCTAACTTTCATATTATAGCATAAAGCAATTTATACGGTTTTGCTTCGCTTTTATAATTTATAAAACGTGTTTCTTTCGTCTGGATTATTTCTTGACACTGCCAACTACTGAAATGCTTATTAACATTGTACGTCTTGTATAAAATGTGTATTACAATTATTCGCGTATTATAACATGAAGCAATTAAGCGTTAGCAAGTAAGCAACTAAGAGTGCAATTAAGTGGACCGCCTGTTTCGGTTTCCTAATTTCTGAAATGTGTTTTCTGGCCAGATTTTAGCACGGAGTTTGACGGCCACAGGGACTCCGTCAAAGAAGCCTGCCAGACGTCTGTTCGTTGCGCCAGGCCCTCCGGAACAGGTACCGATGGAGAGAATCAATCAGGTACCATCTTTGAGAGACGAGTTGGCTCCGACGGGAACCAGTACCCTGCCGATGATGGAGGATCTCCGACGGGAACACGACGCTCTCAGCCAGAAAATCTCGGGGCTTCAAGAAGCTTTAGATTCACTGATGCGCATGCAACGCAAGTACGTACCAATGTTAACCCCTAGATCCATTGCTATGGTTTCTATGACTATTTGGAGCTGCTCATTTGATTATACATTGGTAGCATTTTTGACACCCTTATTGCGTCTACTTTTATTTGCAATTTTTTGACAATAATACACTTGCCGTCTTTTCTCTTCGTTATATTTTTGCTAAATCTTTCGAAATCCTTGTAATCTTCATTTTTATTTGTAATTATTTGAGAAGATAGTTTTTGCTCTATGGATACAACAATTTTCAATAACTTCATTTTGTTAATAACAGTTTTAAAAATTGTCGAATTAGTTTAATATTTCTGGGATGCTCATCCCTCTCGTTACACTTTGGTAATTTCTTTAACACTCTTATAGTGTTCAGACTCGTGTACGATTTTTCCCTGTGATAGTTCGAACATTGTACTATGTGTACGAAAATTTTCAATAACATCGGTTTGTTAATAACAATTTTAAAAATCGTTCATTTCGTTCGATGTTTTCGCGCTGCTTAATTCTTCGTTACGTTTTCATAATTTATTTAACGCCCTTACAGTTTACGGCTCAATTTGCAATTTTTTTGCAAGATAGTTCTGACGTTGCATTATCTATAGAAAAATTATCGATAATATTCCTTTGTTAATAACGACGTTAAAAATCGAATGAAATGGATGAATATTTTTGGGCCGCTTAGCATGAATTTGAATATTGGGACGGGAGAGGTATCTAATCGGTTGTTGTGCCGAATCCTTCGAGACTCCTTCGATCCGCAACGGAACACGTGACGAAGGGGCAATTTCACACCGGTTCTTCGCTCGGGAAAAACACTCGACCCCATTTAATTCCCAGAAGCTCGAACCGCTGAACAGTTTCCCGTTTCCTCTGTGTGATTGCAGGAGCGCCGAAAGCAACCTTTACACCAAAGTGGCCGAGCTGCAGAAAGACATTTCCATGAAGCGTTTCGAGCTTGGGGAGGCACAGTTGAACCTCGCGGCCGTTCAAGCACAGGTATCTATTTATTAATAATTATATATTACGTTTGAAAGACGCTTGAAATTAGATTATTATTGTTTGAACTTCGTGACCTTTAACCTGCTGCAACTTGGAGAAAAAAAAGCCGATAACGATCTACTTTAGCTTGTACTGAATCTCAAGCCTCTACTTTTGATTACTCCTAAGTTGTTTTCCTTTCAAGTGCTCTTTTACAGAAAAAGCCGAGCGAGAAAGTAAAAGTGCTCCTCTTTCTCGAAATTTTTTCATTTCGCGAAACTTTTATCACGCCTCTGCGAAATAAAAACAATTTCTGTCCTGCACTTCACCATCATGACACTGAAGATTGAAGTACCCCCTTAAAACGAGACCATAAATTTCGGCTTAGGTTTTTTTACAGACGTTCAGTTTCACTTAAAACATAATAATTCTGTCAATTTTTTTTTTCAATTCTTGATAAATCGTGCAAATTCACATGTCTCTGCGGAGTTCAAAAAATTGTTTTCCGCTAGTTCAACGCCTTGTAAATAAAGATTGAAGTACTCCCTTTACAACGAGACCATAAACTTTTATCTACGTTTTTTTATGGCCCCTTTATTACGTTTAGAACGAAAACTGTGACATTTTTCCAATTTCTTATAATTCTGCAAATTCAGAGGCCTCTGCGAAGTTCAAACCATTTTTTTCCACTACTTCAACATCTTGTAACTGAAGATTGAAGTATCACCTTTACAACGAGTCCATAAATTTCAATCTAGGATTTTTTATAACCGTTTAGTTCCACGTATAACAAAAATTGTGCCATTTTTTCAATTCTTCATAAATCTGCAAAGTCAAACATCTCTGCGGGGTTCAAAAAATTCTGTTTCCTGTCTTCCATTCATATAGACTTGAAGATTGAAGTATTCCCTTTACAACGGGGTCATAAACTTTGATCTACAATTTTTTATGGCCGTTTTACTACGTTTAGAACGAAAACTGCCATTTTTTCAATTCTTCAGAAATCTGTAAAGTTAAACATCACTGCGGAGTTCAAAAAATGTTGTTTCCTGTCTTTCATTCATATGGACTTCAAGATTGAGGTATTCTCTTTACAACAGGGTCATAAACTTTGATCAACAATTTTTTATGGCCGTTTTATTACGTTTAGAACGAAAACTGCCATTTTTTCAATTCTTCATAAATTTGCAAAGTCAAACATCTCTGCAGAGATCAAAAAATTTTGGTTCCTATCTTTCATTCATATGGATTTCAAGATTGAAGTATTCTCTTTACAATGAAACCATGAACTTGTATCTACGATTTTTTATAGCCATTTTATTGCGTTTAAAATAAAAACTGTGCCATTTTTTCAGTTTTTAATAAATCTGCAAATTCAAAGGTCTCTACGATGTTAAAAAAATTTTGTTTCCTGCATTTCATTCGTATGGACTTCAAGATTGAAGTATTCCCTTCACAACGAGACCATAAACTTTGATCTAAAATTTTTTATGACCGTTTTATTGCGTTTAGAACGAAAACCGTGCCATTTTTCCAATTTTTGATAATTCCGCACAATTAAACGTCTCCGCGGAGTTCAAAAATTTTCTTTTCACCATTTCATTCGCATGGACTTCAAGATTGAAGTATTCCCTTCACAACGAGACCATAAACTTTGCTCTACAATTTTTTATGGCCGTTTTATTGCGTTTAGAACGAAAACTGTGCCATTTTCCCAATTTTTGATAATTCTGCACAATTAAACGTCTCCGCGGAGTTCAAAAATTTTCTTTTCGCCATTTCATTCGCATGGATTCGCAGAATTGGAGTGTCCCCTATACATCGAGACCATAAAATGTGATGTACGGTGCTTTACCTGGTAATATTTACTATGATATAGTCATACCCGCGGCGACTAACGCAAAAAGGGACGAGTAATCGATGGTTCCTCTTCACGGCGATTCGTCTTCCTCCCCGGAGACGCGTTACCCAATCGGAAAGTCCCGGCTACGACTTCTCCCCGTGGCGTCGCTTCCGTTTCTCGCGGCTGTTCCGCGGCAACTTTTCCGCCGCGGATGAAAAAAGTTTCGACGAGGCCTGTCGCGGTTTTCTGGTGCGGTAGACGGACGTGGTTAGTCGCGAAAGTGGCAAGTTTTTGCGGAGTAAACTTCGGACCGGCTGTCCCCGCCAGGGACATTACCGATGGCAGAACTTGGGACCCAATAGTTTGGCGAAACCCGGCTTCAAATGCCAAGTTATAGTCCATCGGACCGACGCTTTCCTCTCAGCTGTTCCTATTTGCTGTTTCAATCTGACGATTCCGCGACACTTAATTACTGTCGCGATCGTTCGGCGCGTCATTGGCGAAAAAATGACAAAATTCTGGGCATAACTCTGAATTTGGTTGTTAATGTATACGCATCGGTATTTATTCGCAAAAAATGAGATGTAACACAACTTAAAAGGAAGATAAAGCTTGACAGAAATTAACAAATTGTACAAAAATTGGAAAATTTGTATCAAAAGAATTAACGGATTTAATAGGGAATTGATATTAACCCTTTGCACTCGAGTGACGACTCTGAGGCGCCGCTAAAAATTGCTATACCATTTCTTAAGATAATTATAACAGTATCAGATTCGATCATGTTTTTAAAAAGATTGTTAAAATTGCAAACATTGTACTTGGCAATAAGCTCAATTTTATACGCATAGATCGCAATAAATCGTGTAAAATAGAAATATTGTAAATCAGAAATTTCGAATTGAAACAGCTTCGAGCGTAAAGGGTTAAGTAAACCATTTGTAAAATTAACTGATAAAAATTGTGTTGTGTCGACGAAGAAATTTTTTGATTGTATCCGATTTCACAAGGTGTTTACCTCTTATTTGAAGTTGCTTCAGTGTCTGACTGCACACTGAACGTTTCCACTTAGAAAGAAAAAGAACAGTACGTATGCACTTTGAAGTATAATACTTCTAGTTCAAAATGAATATTCAAGATACCATAAATGTTTTAGTCGTTATTTTGGACAGTAGTATTTTACTAAAAAGTTTGTGGAAAAGTTTTAATATTCTTTTGCAAAATTTTGCAATTTTCCGATACATTTTTGGAAAATCGAGGAACTCTTTTTTTTTAAATCCAAAACAGATGATCGATGTAAATATTTTGTATACATTGTTTCAGATAGCTTTTTTTTACAAAATGTTCTAAAACTTATTTATTACTTCTACGCAAAGTCGTGTTATTTTCCAACATAGTTTTCAACGCAAGAAATTTATTCTCTAAATTTGCGCATACATAAATCCTTCATCGGTAAATGCGCAGTCTGTGCACGCGAAAGTCCGTGATCAATAGCTTTTCAAACATTTGACCCAACACGTGGTTCCATCTCAAATTTCGAAGGTCATTTTCGAATTGTAAAACAGAATATGTACACGCGTTCAGTGCGTTGCAATAATAATTGCGTCGTGTCGTGTTCCTATTGGATGAAAAATTGTTTATAAACTCCTTCTTATTTTACTTTATAAGTTAGACTTTAAATTAAAAAATGCAAAAATTGATTTCAATTTTTTTCAAGAGTATTCTCGTCGGAACTCATTAGAATGTTTATTTCGTCGATCCACTGACTTCAATGATGACTGTAGATGTATTTCGAGCTTCATAATTTCTCTAGATTATTTTTCAAGATAATTTTTCACATAAGATCAGGCCCAAAATTAGGCTTAACATTTCTGGCCTTCAAAATATTCATGTCCCGTCGCCATTAATTGTTTAATAAGTTTCTTAATGAAACAGTCCAAGTAACATTAACATCATGTCGTTTGTTGCATCAGACCCAAAATCAGGCCCATCCTTACTACCTTTGTAAATTCTCGTTACCACTAAAAATACCCTTCATAAAGTTTTTCAATCTAAATCATACTTCAATCAATTCAGTTAAGTCAAATATAGTGACTTCAATTGCATCAGGCCCACACACTTCAATTTTAAAAAATTCTCATCAGCATAACAAAAAGCTATTTCAAAATTACGCAATCAATATCTAATAGATTTCATTAAATTAATTAAAACACCAGAGTCACAAAATCAGATCCATTTCCTGCACACTTCAGAATCCTCATCAGTAGCAAATCAAGCCAGTCCCAAATCGGTCCCATTTTCCCTAGCTTCCAGAATTCTCATCTCTATCAAACAAGTGACTTAAAAAGTCATATTACCTCAATGCAACTCAACTGATTTCACTATCATCAACGTTTCTAATCGAACTAGGCCCAAAATCGGGCCCAAATCGGTCCCATTTCCATGATCTTCAAAAATCTGTATCAACATCATACATACTAAAAAGTCACCCGTTATTAAATCTAACGCACTCGATTCAATTATCATTACCTCTAATCGAACCAGGCCCAAAAACAGGCCCAAATCGGTCCCATTTCCATGATCTTCAAAAATCTGTATCAACATCATACATACTAAAAAGTCACCCGTTATTAAATCTAACGCACCCGATTCAGTTATCATTACCTCTAATCGAATCAGGCCCAAAATCGGGCCCAAATCGGTCCCATTTCCACGATCTTCAAAAATCTGTATCAACATCGTACATACTAAAAAGTCACCCGTTATTAAATCTAACGCACTCGATTCAATTATCATTACCTCTAATCGAACCAGGCCCAAAAACAGGCCCAAATCGGTCCCATTTCCATGATCTTCAAAAATCTGTATCAACATCATACATACTAAAAAGTCACCCGTTATTAAATCTAACGCACCCGATTCAGTTATCATTACCTCTAATCGAATCAGGCCCAAAATCGGGCCCAAATCGGTCCCATTTCCACGATCTTCAAAAATCTGTATCAACATCGTACATACTAAAAAGTCACCCGTTATTAAATCTAACGCACTCGATTCAATTATCATTACCTCTAATCGAACCAGGCCCAAAAACAGGCCCAAATCGGTCCCATTTCCATGATCTTCAAAAATCTGTATCAACATCATACATACTAAAAAGTCATCCGTTATTAAA